TTTTTATTCTCCTAGACACAATTCGGTTCCAGAACTGTATGTCAAAATGAAAACATATTTGCAATTACGTCATCATGAAGTCATCATAGGTCACGTGACGTCACTTGAAAAAATAATAAATTTAATCTTTGAAATTCAATATAAAATCAACCCTGAGAGACTGGAACTTGAAGTTTGCGGGAATCGATATGATAATGCATGATCTTCATTGTATCTCGTGCACGTCAAATCACGTGACCCTTCCTTCCGGTCGAAACCTGGAGGGGCCTAATAATTTAAAAGTGGAAAAAGATATGAAGAACTTGCTTTTAACGATGTTAGTCTCTGAGTAGGTTGAGCTTTCCAAAAAAATGATCGGTGACGCCATCAAGTGTTCGAGCGCCCTCTAGCGACAGGTTAAAAAATGTCAAAATGCATTTTCAGCTGATGTCTGTGGCGAAATTTGCGGTAATTGCTTCAAAATTGATATACATGATGACCTTAATGTAGACAAGACCTGTGCGCGAAAAAAATTGATTACGTCATCAGACCAGAAGTACAATGAAAAGACCTCCTTTCCTTTGAAAATTCCTGAAAAATCAACCCATACAGATTTAATCTCGATTTGTGCTTTAAATGGCACTTTAATAATAGGTCTAAAACTTTCCAAAGTTTCGTTTCAATCAGTAAACTTGGAGATGTCCTGCAGCCCCCTTGAAATTTGAACTTGAAAACGCCAATGCCTTGAAACGTTCATTAAATGTCACGTACATTGTGTGTACAGCAAATGGGGATGATTCTGTAAAAAGGGGAATTCCCGAAAAACAGTGTGCTATGATTGCGTACAAAAGGGACTTCCCCGTGCTCGCTTCTTGAGTGTCTGGTTTTACGACTGTTGTATGTTAACTACATGTAACGGCTGTTTGATGGACGAATTTGTTTTAAGTGTTTACCAGTGTTTTGTACACGTTTATTATGACAACTTCTTAACACAAGCACATTTTTGACTTCTGATGATGTCATATGATACTCAAAAATTGGGCTGGCAAAAGCGCCCAATTGGGCGCTTTTTCAAAATTGGGCGTTTTTTTTCTTCTAAAAACATGCGCATTGGGGTGAAGAGGGTATGGCAAGCAATATTTTGTATTGCGCCAATGGTGTGCGACCTTTACTTTGAGAGATATGAGCTATTTAATGTTTTTTTGTAACGATTGTACTTGATAAGTTTACAGTACAGCAGCATACGCGCGTGCAGATCCTCACCTGACTCTTTTAAACTATCCTTTGTATAATTACTCCACGCGCTATTTTTCAACCCTCAACCCTCAACATCAACATCAACAATCAACGTCAACATCAACAATGGCCCAACGCCGTGTGGTTGTTCCTACAACCTCTAGTTGTTTTTTGTTTTTTATGTTTGCAAATGTATACTACCTTTAATGACCATACTTCCCCACGGTTGATTTTGCTTAAATTATTGGGAGGTAGCTGGAGTGCCAGTTAACACATTGTCACCAAAATTTGCTTGTTAAAGAGGTTGTGGAATGCTTGAACGTCTTTTTTTATTATTGAGTAGACCCATTTACATCAGAATGAAAAACTCTCAACTTTTTTTGTAATGTGCGTTTACATGTTTATAAAACTGAAATTCATTGAGTTTTTGTTGGTCGGCGAGCACATAATTGAAATTAACAATCATCGGCTCTTCATGCCAACTTGGTAAAATCAGAAAATTTGTGATGTAATTAACAGGACACAATGGCTGTTTACTGTTGCCCCATGTGCTAGCAACATGTCTGACTCGAAGACAAGCAGTGAAAACATCAACAAAAATTCAAAGACTCACAGAGATTAGCATTCCTGTAAATTGAACAAGGAACGGTGACCTCCAAGCTGTTCTTTTGTATCAATTTGAGCCAGAACTGCCTAAAGAAGAGCATTGACAACTGATGAGTGGTAGGTCTACCACGTTTCCGTAAAAAAAACCCAACTTTTTATCCAAGGACTCATTATTCAAGTTTTAGATGATCATCAAAAGTCCTACTGCAATTTTCTTCATGATTTAAACGCATTTCCCAAGTTATTCTGGTGAATATTCAGTCCAAAGAGACGACATAGCGTCAGGCTGTTTTTGATACGCTATGGCACACATCATGGCAGTGGAGTGGTCGACCATGTCCCAGAACTAATGTTGTACGGTTAGCAACGTTGCGTGCCCTGGTCAAGTCCCTCATGTTCCTTGGTGCTTTCTTATGGATACGTGCGCCACACAAAAAGTAGTTCTTTTCTCTTTTCTTTCCTGTGAATTTTAACCAGTTTTTTTAACACCAGTCAGTCATGGTGCCTTCCGCTTGCCAGCTGGTGGGCTATCAGAGATCTCCAACAATTAACATCCTGATTCGTAATGATGAATTTCCTCAAATTTTGAAATTGTTAACTTTATTGTTTACCAAAAAAAAGCTGCTGGTATTGTGACCAATAGATGTAAATATAACTGCAAATGACCGATTCAAATCGTCCCTGTGCAGTTAATGTATGATGTCAAAGTCGTGATTGGCACCACAATTCTCCATCTGGAATTAACAAGAATGATTTGATGCCTGGAACAAAGACGTCCGAAGGCAAAGAGGACTTCGAAAGTCTTAGTTCAAAATCCTTCCGTAGGAATTGGACAGGTACACTCAGTTCCCACCAGATGTGGTCCGTCTCTATTATACAAAAAGTAGTTCTTTACTCCATTTACACCAAGAACTAACAACTGCTATTGAGGGGGCTTTTTAGTTGATAAACAAATGACTTTTCCTCACCTTAAAGAACAATGAGAAGCCTCAAGCATTTTTTTATAGGTCGTTTTCCTAGTTCCGGATTTTTCCTAGTTCCGAATCACTTCAAATAAAAACCTACCTCTTTTTGATTAGTCTCCAATTAAAACATTCTGACGGAGTGGATGTTGAAAAGGAAAATGTAAGCTTCTTTATACCCAAAGATCTTTTCGATAAAATCTTTATAGAAGAGGAATTTTGGCCAGATTTCCGACTCACACTCCGACATGCTTGGACGGTTAAAGAAAATCACAGGAGCTGCGAATCGACGATAAATTTTCTCCTCGGTATATCTCTCGTACAGTGTGGTTTTGAATATTTTTTTCATTCACTACAATCGTATAAACTCTTCCATCGAATGTTTGTTCAATCAAAATAAGTTGTAGCGTCTCTAATTTGAAAATTCGCCAACGAATGACCGTATGCTTTTACCTAGTTCCGGATCGCGCGTGTACTTTACGACCCAACTACCATGACTACACGCGCGTTAATCGATTTTGTGTGACGTATCCTGTGCTGGGTCAAAGATTTTTGGTCCGTGCATGAGTTCGAGCCGTTGCGCTGCAGACAAAAGTTTCAAAATCATTTACGTTTTTTCTTTTTAAAATTTGCTGGAATTCTCTTGCATGAACGATTTTTGGATAATGAAATAATACTTTATCAGAAAATCTGTTTGATTTGGTTGGTTCTGGCTGAAAAAAAAGGATTTTCTCGCGTGATTTTTTGCTTCGCATGAAGCAGTTTTGATCGATTCGGAACTGATTGAACCGATCCGGAACTAGGAAAAGTGACATCGGCACTTTTGACGTCGTAAAATCAAAATGAAAAGAGCTTAAATTTTGCAAATTATTTCATGGTCTCTCCATCACTCAAGGTAAACTTTTTAATCAATGTCACTTGAATTCGTGGAGTAGTTGAGCCAAAATCAGCCTGAATGATGTTTGCTATCCGGAACTAGGAGAACGACTGTAGTTTTTTTTTACACACGCCAATGTTTCCGCAAGTGCTTGTAGTTTATCAGGGGCCAATTTTTTTTTTTCACACACACGTTTCGAAAGCTTGTGATGTTTGAATGCTGAATCGGTGACAGCAAGGAGTGTTCAAAGTAACAAACTGTGAAAATAAGTTCGCTTTCTGTTTTTATTGTATTTTCTGACGATAGAGATGAAAGACATGCTGCTGTTGGGCCAGATCCGCTGTTTTACTTCTAACAGCGAACATACCGTAGCGACACGAAGGAATGAGCAAAATCACCGTGTACGCCAGAGGTCGTCATTCATGTTTCAAGGCCAGCCAGTCTGTCGAGATACATTCGTCTTTTTACACAAGTAAGGTTTAGTAGAAAACTTATATCCAAAGAAAATTTATTAAGATTCCAACAAACATTTCACAGACTGAAACTTCAGATTTTGTGGAATTTTTTTGTTTTTTAAGCAGAGTTTATTGTTTCTTTTTTAATAGTAAAAATCTTGTCATCATTGTTTGGGAAAATAAACTTAATATTTTAAAATGTTCACATCTGTCAGTACGACTTGTATTAAATTCAGTATTGATACATGTGGATGTGATCCAAACCAACCCATGATGTACATTTTGTTATAATTCTTTTGGTTTATGTCTTTGTTTTTGTTTTTATGTAGTATAAGTGTCAACATGCTGAAAGCTCTCCAGAAGCACTACCGTGAGAATGGATGTAAACCAAGGATCCACAAAAATACTGGGCGAACCTTCCAAAATCATCTGAGGTATGAAGACAACTCCAGTGTGCGTAGCTTCATCTGGAACTACTCTGAGACGCATGCCATTCTTCTTCCCGGTCGCATTCCAGGATTCAAGCGAGATGACATCAGGGTTCTCCCCTCTAGTGAAACAAAGGCGAATGTGTGGAGAAAGTACAAGATTGCAATGCAGGAGTCAGGTAAATAAAACTAGACCATGTCCGAATTAGCTGCTACGGATATGGCTGTTGATTGCTAAGTTTTGTCTATACCTCAACGATGGGCTGATAAAAACCAAAGCTTGTAACATTCTTTTCGGAAACGGCGGTAATTTTGAATAAGAACATTGATTATGTACCCAACTGACATTTTCCAAGGGATACACTTAAAGCGGTGTGGTTTTGTTACCTGCCATATCATGTATGTAATAATAAAACGCAAGAATGTACATGTACATGTAATACACAGTGTTAAATGTACACACTTTATCTAAATGCTATGTTTTCACAGGTGACAGAGTGGTTGCACTTTCAACATTCAGAAAGCTGTGGAATAGGGTGTGTCCTTTCATCGTTTGCTGCAAACCTATGACTGATGTATGCTGGCAGTGCCAAAAAAAAACCAACCTCCTATTCAGGTCAGCAAATCTTCCAGATGCAGAGAAGCAGGAGCGCTGCAGAATACAGCAAGCTCATCTGGAGAATGTTGGTCATGAGAGAACCTTCTACAGGGACCTTGTTCAGGATGCAAGGGTGGCTGCAGAGCAGATTGGGGTTACTCAACTTGGGCCCAACACTCCTTGCACCAACGCCATAGACATGCACTATTCATTTGACTATGCCCAACAAGTACACTTTCCATCAGACCCTATCCAGCCTGGCCCAGTGTATTTTTTGACACCAAGAAAGTTGGGCATTTTTGGTGTCCATTGTGAGGGCGTCACAAAACAGTTGAACTATTTAGTTGACGAATCCGTACTCATCTCCAAAGGAAGCAACGCCGTGATCAGCTACTTAGACAATTTCTTCAGGACCTATGGCTTAGGGGAGACTAAAGCCCATCTTCACTGCGACAACTGCAGCGGCCAAAACAAGAATCGGTATGTCCTTTGGTACATGCTTTGGCGTTGCATGAGTGGTCTCCATCGATCTATTGAGATGCATTTCATGGTGGTTGGACACACAAAGTTTGCCCCTGATTGGTGCTTCGGCCTCTTCAAGCAGCGCTACCGCCGAACAGCTGTCTCCTGCCTTGATGATGTTGTTCGTGTAGTCACTGGAAGTACACAAACTGGAATCAACATCCCCCAGCTTGTAGGTGATGAAGCTGGTAACACCTTCGTTCCACAGTTTGATTGGCAGGCATTCTTGTCCCCATTCTTCAAGCCACTTCCAGGGATCAAGAGTTTTCAGCATTTTCGGTAATTTTATTTATTTTGTGGTTTTTCTTTATTCGACTGTTTCCGCAGTAAAAAAACCTAAAAAAATTAACTGCATTATTTCTAACCTTACTGTTCCCCTTTGTATTTATGTTTTATTTAAAGTTTTACATCTGATGAACCTGGCGTCGTTTTTGCAAGAAAGTACCTTGAGGATGAAGAGACAAGCTTCCAGCTCCTAAAGACCCATGACAGACGCCCTACTGCTGACTTTCCTGAGCCCCAGACTCCTCCTGGGCTTGATGCAAGACGCCAGTGGTACCTCTATGACAAGATCCGTGACTTCTGCAGCGACGCCACCAAGGATGTTGTCTGTCCCTTGCCAACAGTTCCGAAGCCATAGTCATCATCTTCCAGTCTCCTCTCCACCCAGTCTCCCCTCCTACACAGCAACAGCAGTCCATCATGAAGACAGACAGTGTTGACTGTCTGACAAAAACAACCGGTTCTTTTCAGAACCACCCACATCTTCAAAAAAGAGATTTAGGCCTAACAGCAAAGTCGCACAATATAAAAGAAGATCCCCAAAATCCCCCAGGAGTTTTATAAGCAAAAACAGTGAATTTTATACCAAAAACTCCATTTTCCACCCAAAAGTCAGACAGTGGTTTTGTCTTTTACTTGACTATAATGACATTGTAATAGTGATGTCTAATGGTGAATGATTTGATGATAAAACCTCTGCAAAACATGGAATTAAGGTTTTTTTTCCAAAAACCTTGTATTTTAACCCAAAAATTATATTTTTTTCTCAAGGGTAGTTTGCCTGAGCATAACGGTACTTACACTATAGAAAATACAACTGAGACTTGCGAGATATCTTTTTTTTTTCTTCCGACCGCCCCATGTGCATTCTCTAAGTCTTTATATTTTGACTAAAAAGAATGATTTTAAGACAATTATGCAAATGAGTAAAAAATAAAGATAAAGCTCCCTTTTCCACCCAAAAGTCAGACCATGTTTTTTTTCTTACTTGAATATAATGACATTGTAATTGTGAACGATTTGATGATAAAACCTCTGCAATACATTAAATTAATGTTTTTTTTACCAAAAACCTGGTATTTTAACCCAAAAATTTTACAATTTTTTCAAAGGTAATTTTCTTGAGCAAATCGGTACTTACATTATAGAAAATAAAACTGAGACTTGTGAGATAACTTGTTTTTCTCTTTCCAACTGCCCCATGTGTATTCTCTAAGTCTTTATATTTTGACTAAAAAGTTTGATTTTAAGGCAATTATGCAAATGAGTAAAAATTAATGATGAAGGGCTCCAAAATGATAAAAAAATCAGGAAATCTATTCCAGGGTAACATTGAACATTGTGTAAAATTTTCAGAGTGATAGTCAAACAGGAACCCTGCTGTTGCTAGGGACTTTTGAATAAACTGCATTTTGTACTATTTCCATTCATGTGGTAAATGTTTCTAGGGGCATTTCCACGTAAGCCATTTCCTTTTAATTAACAAATCCTGATATGCAAATTTTGATATATCTTCGCAATGCAACATCGCACAGAAGTCATATATATACCAAATTAAAGCTTAGAACGTGCCCTTTCCACCCATGTACATAACTCCAAAAAAAGAATTTGGGACTTAAGGGCCATTTTTGCAGAGCCGGTCACATTTGAAGTTCATATTTTAAGTATTTATCGAGTTATCGCGCTGACGAGATTTATCCGGACACACACACCCACCCACACACACACCCACGGAAGGACAAGGTGGAAACAGTATGCCCCTTCGGCTTCGCCGCGGGGCATAAAACTGTGGTGTGATTAAAGCTGGCCACCGACACAATTAGGTTTGCCTTGGCATAGCCTTGTCTGATGCGTTCGCTACCCGTAAAAGTGCGCTTGTGAATTCTCAGCTTTACATTGTTCAGGGTGCTAGCTTGCGTGAATGATGTTGATGTGGAAAGACATTTCTTACTTTGGTTGGGCCGTTAGAGCAATCACAAAACAACCATCAACAAACTATAAATCAAACTATCAAAACACTGTGTAACTATCAAAACACTTGACTTATCAATAGAAACTACCAAAACATCAATGGAAATATCTCCATTTTAAATTCTGAAATTGTCATTTAGAATTGTCTGGGGTAAAAGCTGTTGCCAAGTATGGTTCATGGAGCATGTGGCTGCCCATGTCGATCAGTGTATTGTAAACAAACATCCTCTTGTTGCCCGGAGTGATCTATGAACTATGCTGCATCGGGAGTCCTGTTTATTACGTTACAATTTTACAGTCGGGAAATGAAAATATGTGTTATACATGTTACATGTGTTTGGCTTCTTTATGTTGTTTTCTATCCTCAAGGATACATGAACTCATGAAGCTTTTCACAACCAAAATGAGCTGGTAATTGGTATGGCCTCCTGCCAGACCACTGTCTCATTCTTGGGTCTAACCAAACCCTTTGCTTTAGAGAGATTTTCCCATGCCCATGTCTAGCTATTTTTGGTAGCAAGAATGTCACTTTCACTAGCTGTGGAGACAAATCAATTAGGGTTTGGAGGTTGTTGGGACCTGGAAGAAATATTGCTGATCAGCAGATTCACCCAGGACTCCCTGAAAAACTAGCCAATCAAAAAGTTTATATTCAAATTATTTCACAAGGAAGGAGTAGTCAATTTAATATGTAGCCAATCGGCAAATGGATCGAAGTGTCCATCACCCAACTAAAGTGGGTATTTAAGGTCCCGCATCAGGGCCAAAAGACCAGTCTGCACCCACATCCAGCAGGCCACTGAAGCCAAGCCAATGTCGTAGCCATAGAGGGGTGAGTTCTTGTCCTTTGTTATTGTGAGTTGTGATTTCGAGACTAAGTTTCTAATTGAGAGCTAATTGTGTTCTGTAGTTGTAATGTTGATTGAAGTTCATTGTTATATTTGGTGGTTCATGGTTTTAATCATTTGTTTGCATTTCTGTGCATGAAGTTATCTGCAGCTTGAGCCATTATTGTGTGAATAATTGTTGCACTTTGATTGACTCGAACCATCCTAGAACTTAGAAATTTACAATAATAGGTTCGGCAGTCAACTTAAATTGATCATGTGAATTGAACATGTATCTTAAAGGTATAGTCCATCATTTGCAGCCATCCGAAAAGTAACTGGCGTAATTATTGTTGAAAAACAAACTTGGTTGAAAGATAGTAAGGGGACTAAACTCCCTGTGAAATTATTCTTTCTGGGAAGCTGTCATTTTGAAGTAATCAACGAAAGAAGGCATTTCCAACGGTGATTCTTAAGAAGCACCGTAGGAAAATTTAAATTAGTAGTTCGTTTTGTTATTCAGCGCAGCGCGCACAAGTATTGGAACGACGCACACGCGCGCGCGGTTGTTATAATTCGTCGGATCAGTGCGCGACGTCGCGTATAGCTGCAATTCAAAACAATTCAAAACATGATTCAGTAACTTTGGATTTGAAATTGAGATCTTAGAATGCTGTTTTTCTCGGAATGTACAGCTGAAGGTTAGCGGAAACTTCATCAGATAAGTTGCTCAGTATCCTTCATTAGATTTTGAACTCTTTTGTTGCTTCAAACGAACAAAATGCACAAATTACAAATGATGAACTGTAGCTTTAATTAGTGTATCATTGATAATATTGTGGAACCATTTGTTCAAGCATTATGTCATTCTTTTGTATATAGCTTCCAGCTACGCAAATGGAGTTGAAGTTGATGTACATGTAGCTGTACAGGCTGTTCTTTAACTTTATCCACGTTAGCTCTTGATTCGTTGTGTTCTTGATCCACAATTAAATCCCAGATATTGAGTACTGTATTTTTGGAAACAATGTTTACTCAATTCCAATTCACAAGTCAAGGCAGTGTATTTATTTGATTCTGTTTCCCAAGTTGTGCTGTAGCTGATGCACTATGTTATTCTGATCTTACGGTACAGTCAATGTTTTGCTCCTGGTACTTTAAATACCTTGAATTGAGGACAAGGACAAATCTCTGTCTAGCCAAACAGTGTTATGTAACCTGTCACATTCCATCTATTGAGCACCAGCTGATGTACTGTTTATAGTGTTTTGGTTACCAGTACTATGACCTTTGAACTGTGTGTTGTTGTCTATTGTACAATGACTGTAGTAGTATTTTAAACCCATGTTTTGAATTATTTCTTAATGTATCCTCGAGAGACCAGTTTTCGCAGGTATAGGGCTTTTTCTTTGTTTTGAAAAAAATTAACAAGTGCAAGATACCAATTGATGTCCTATTTACCTTCCTTAGTTCATGGGCAATATGCAAACAACAATAAAAACTGGACGACCTTCGCAGTTTTCACACAACGGAACGATCTCCGACGTCCTCGCGAAGCGCCTCCACGCGTCGAGCGTGACCTATTTCCGTGGGTTGCGGGGGGTACGGTGTCCCGGTAAAGTCATACGTGGAATAAATGTATGTCATGACTCGGCGTGTCTCCATCAGGCTCCATTGTCGGTAGCTATCTTATATTTTCCAAAAATCAACCTTCTATACTTCGAAACTATATCATATGGTATTAAAGCTATAAATTTCAAATGAAAAATAAATAAATGACATTTTACATATTTTTCTTTGCTTTTCTACTTTCAGGTTTTCTTGAGTGGTCGTGTTTTATTTTTAATTGTAGCCTATTTCTTATTAAACCTAAACCTCTGTAAATCATAGCTAACCTCATTTGACCTTCGACCTTTGACATGAAATATATCCTACATCATCTTTAGTACTTAATTAGGTCAATATTGTGGCTGTATCGATAACTTCGGCCCTGCTATATCCATAACCCAGTAGCGCCATCTTCTTCAGGTGGTCCACCAAGTTGTTCTCCTCTTCGAGGCTGAAAACAGGAGCTGGTCCCGATCTTGTTGCTTCGGGGTCAACCTTCCCCAGAACACGATCCCGTAATGTGGACTCAGGGACCCCGTACCTCCTCGCAGCACCCCCAACTGACCCATTCTCATCAATCACGAGACAAAATGCTTTTGACAAAGCTGTTGGTGAGTAGTTTCTGTA